TCACGGAATGTGGAATAAAAAGCTTTTGAATGTAAACAAAAAGCTTTTGACCAACTCTCCGTGACAAAAATGAGGGTCAAGATGCTAATTTCATTTCGGAAATCTGTTAATAAATACTGGTGCGGCAAGGTGTACTCCAGCTAGCAAGCTTCAGTGGATTAATCGCCATTGGTGGTTACTGAATGTGTGACTCGGATTTACTCAAGAACTGGTGACGGAGGAGTTTCGGGGATCAAGTTCACAGAATGATCGTTGTATTATGCCGACCTTGTGGCAATTAGTGCAACGCTTCGATGGGCAAATTGAGCGTCGAAATGTACTCAATTTGCATTTTAGATCTGTTGCTCAGTCGTTCATGTCAATGTGCTCGTAGCGATTTGATCTTCTCTGCTCGCTAGTTTCGCTCTTGATGGTGCGTGGGTGTCGATTTGAAGGTGAAGGTAACTGTTCTAACTCAGTAAATAGCAAACTTAACTTAGCAAAAAAGAACTTGACTGTTGGAGATTTTCAACCTTCTAGTCGGACGTACATTTAAATGTGTTCAGAGACTCATTAAGGCTTACGTATAAACAAGAAACGACGAAAGGCAAGAGAAGTAATCCCAATATGGGCCATATTTCGAAGGTTATCCTAATGCGAACCGAACAAAACGACTCTATAAGCATAGTGATTATGGAATATCAAAATATTTGACATTGGCCGATACGAAGAATTTGCCTAGAAACCTACCCACTTATTTGCATTGGTAATTTGGAATCATTGTCATTAACTGAATTTAGTAGTGATAATCCGGGAATTGGGGGGTATTTCTTAACTTTCCTAGTCATTTCTTTTCGTCATTTGCTAGTTTAAATCCCTGCCATCTTTGTTCTTTAATTTCATTCGATTTAATCAAATTTCCTTTCTCCTCATAAAATCTTGTAACGCATCTTGTTTTATTGGACTGCCTATCTTCCTTGCGCCCTCACCTCTACTAGAGCTAATAGATAAGTTGTTTGGTTATACTATTTTTATGAATTAATAAAAGCGACCATGACACTTGGCCCGATATGTGGTTGGCCTCCGTGCTGTTGGTGTGAGCAAACGAAGCCAGTGTTTTTGGCCAAAAACTGAAATACCCACAAACTCTATAGACTGTTGTTTAATCGTCCAGGGAAAGGAGGCGTAAAAGACTCAATAACACATAAAACAAAATCAACAAGCGTAAAAAGGGGTCGTGGTCCATTTTGAAAAGTTTCATATATGGTACAATGCCAGAGGGAAACTTGGAGTCTGATATAACTGGTCCTTTATGAGCCCATCACTTAGAACTACTTAGGGATGATTCCACTAAAACAACAACACCACAAACACAACAAAAAAAACACCAACATTTTAATTATACATAAGTTCGTATTTCCTTTACTTCATCTCAGAGCCATGAATAGCTGCTC